GGAAAAAGATGCCTGCTTTACCGTGTGGAATCGTCCTGTATGTTTCTCTAAGATATACTACTGTATATATAATATATACCACTATATATACATATTTATACCACTATACATCTATCAGTCTACGTCCTGGGCGCCACCAGGTGCGATGAGCTCGAAGCTTTGGAGCCTAACCTGATCGCCGACGCTCAGAACCTGAGCGCCGAGGCATCTCCGGTTCAGGGGGTTCACCTTCCGGGGGTGGTTTGGATGGGGGAGGAGGACAGCACTTCCTAACCTCTTGGAGGAATCCAATGAAAAGCAAACAAAATGGAACATGTTATGAATGGAACTGACCTACTTCACTGGTCAGTTGTGAATTTGATGCTGGGATGGAGCATGTGAGCCATCAGGTGGATTGAAGTTGGATGGGTCTTGCAAATGACCCTTTTTTCAATGGTGATGTCACTTATATAATTCAATTTCTCACTTTGAAACGTTTGCCGCACAGTAGATGTCACACGTCGTCCAAATTCTATCCGGTTCTTCTGAACCATGATTTATGTGATTTGCTCCATCCGTCAGAGTTGAGCACACTATAGCACGCTAGAATTGCTAGCCACTCTGTGAATCCATGTTTTTTTTCGGCCATTGGGGTGTTTGACCATCTGGAACTTCACTTTCACATACAAGGAAGAATTGTCTTCTGGGGTGAGGATGATTATCGGAGCTTGTGACACTGGTGGACCCTATAGACATATCCAAGCATCAATACGACTTCCGACCTCCAAGGAGTACAACTTTCAAGGGTATAGGCTAGGAGATTCAGATGCAAAGAGATTCGTTAGAACTACTCTTATAATGCCTTTGTTACTATAGTAGCTTCTTGTTCCTAGCGGTAATGCCAGGAGCTACGTTCGTAGCATTCTTGCTCCGTTCGTAGCGATGCCCTTGTCACTACTTGTACCGCGTCACCGGAGTCCTTCAGGATGGCTGGGCTCCACAACCGAAGCCCAGGGATCTTCAGGGACGTCTGGCGCGGGCGAGGTGGGCCCTGGGGATGCCAGGGATGCTGAGAGATCCGGTTTCATTTCCACTTGACTGTGGATGGAGTCCGAAGGTGATTCCCTTTTTCATGTGGTGAACTGAGCTGGGAACAGAGCCGGTTTTTTTCCCACGTATTCACGATGGTTCCAAGAAGATGTTTGAAGTCGGAACATTCAGGCAGGAATTCTGTCAAAGGGTATTTGTGCCATCGCTAGTTGCTCTACCAAGGATGACTTGTTTGGGTCTTCCTTGCAGAGAGAGAGAGAGAGAGAGAGACGGAGAACTTGATTTACAGTTCATTACAGTTCACATGCCACAAATCTCCAAATCAATCACTGAAAGTGTGTAATTATTTTCCTCCTTCTCGCATGCATGTGTATGAAAGAACGAGTTTGGCCCTGGACCTTCATCAGATCGGCTTTCCACTATCAAGTCCTTGAGGCGTTTCCACTATCAATAAGCTCTTGAGGCAAAAATGGGGGCTTCGCGGCCCTCAGGAAGAACACCGCAGACTTCTGTTTTTAAAGGTTGTGACCACCGTCTCCAACTTTGTAATGCAGACTGTTGTTGATATTCCAACTGCCCATATTGAAGAGGTCATACAATCCATTTTTTGGTGGCTTTATTGATCAACGGTCTACATTACTGCCGGCTGCGGATTCTGTGTTTTCGTTGCAGAGCCCTGGAGAAGCACATGAAGGCGAGTATTTGGGCAACAGCCTTTTAACTCCAGTGCTGTAATTTCCGGTGGCCAGTGCAACTTTGCCATTCAGCGTGACGACTCCTCGTTCTCGGCCTGAATGAAGTCATTAGCGAGCAGTTGAGGGTGAATGAAGCTTTAGCAATGAAGAATTCTTGCCACGAGAATTGCCACAGATGCAGTGTGTGATTTGCCACGATGCTATGCCAATCAAAGCCTTCATTCCTTGTGGCCATGCAAGGTTCCGATCAAGTGTTCCGATAGCAGGTGCACAGCAGATGCCCCCCCAAGAGTGCTGTCGCAATGTTCTCCGTCTTAGAACTCCATGTAAACCTTCATGGGATTGGCACATATAGGCTAGGTGCTCCAAATTGTCCCCACACTGCTCACAAATGACAAAGTCATGAGTTCCCCTTTTCGACCTCATTGTGGGCTCCCATGATGTGTCAGCGTTTTTTTCTCGCAGGTGGCATGCAGGGAGGCGGAAAGGTGCCACCTCGCTGGTCGAGCAGATCATGGAGACCCTGCGGTTTCTTTTTTTATTTTGTTTCATTATCACCTGGTGACATGCCGCTACAGCTACACTTGCGAATTATACAATTTATCACTTATCGTGTTCGTCGTTGCGGACAATTGTTTGAAGGGAACATACACCAGTGCTTGGGCCATTGTGGGTTGTATTTGGCAGGATAGATGGATGTAGTGTGGGCCTTGGCGGCAAAGTAAGGTCTCTAGGTCCAAGCGACAACCGCGAGATTCCCCCAACAAACAGGGCTTTATTTGGTTGCAGAATGGATTTCCACTCGCACTCAAGTTCTGGGCCACGTGTGTGATCGCAACAGAACCAGGAGAACTTTTGTGTCCCTTCTGTTATGACCCACAATTTTTTTTTTGAACAGCCGCCAAGGCATGGTTTTCGTTCCGCTGCTGGTAATTACTAAGTTACTAGATACGGGGAAATCGAAGGCACGAACGATTCATATTGCCATTTGCCTTCTCTATGGTGCCGGGAGGAAGAACCCACCCAGCTGGAGGCGTGTGAAGTTGCTTGTGCGGTCCTCATGGATGCTTGGCATGGTATTTGATCGTGAGTCGTGGGCGCGGTTTGGGCGCCTCAAGGGGTCCCAGAATCGAAGCACCAGAGGAACAAAGGAACAACTTGTAGATCATCCATCCGCCCTGCCGCAGTGAGCAGCCAGTTGCCTTGGATCACACATGGTCATACAATGGTCAATAGCCAAGCACCATGGCCTCAGCCAGCAGCTGGGGTGGGTTGTTGCTTGGACTTGACAGATGATCCCAGAAGTGACCGAACCTCCAAGGAGCGTGGAGATGCGGCCATTGCCCTGGCCGTGATGGTCCGCTGCCTGGTGGAGCACCGCGCCACGCCCTCCAAGGTGAGCGAGCCACCGGGCGAGCAAGAGGGGAGTCCAACGGCAGGGGAGGAGCGACTGGGATGTTCCAAGCAGCTGAGGAAGCAAGGTGGATGGTCCAATGGTTTGGTTTGAGCCCGGTGGATCCACCTCCTGACCTCACCTGTTTTGGGGATCCAACTAGGCCACAACACAGCTTGTGCTTCCAATGGCTCAGCTTACCTAGCCATGCTGAATGTCATCGATTTTTCTAGCGGGCCCATAGTAAGACTGCCAAACCTGCTGGCCACTTATGGGTAAACTAATAAACTTTGATGTGCTACATGAGCATCAGACAACTGGCACGTACAGTTCCACATGACAAGGAGCCTAGATATCCTAAATGACATTGTGGCTTGATCATGTCTCCATACCTTTGCACAGCTGCACGGCCACCAAGAACACAGCACAATTTCCAAAAGCCCCCTAAGAAGTCAGTACTTCTCCAACCTCCCCTTTCACTAAAAGATCTAAAAGCCATTGGATGCCCCAGCCAAAGCCAATCTTTATCACGCATGAGCTCGCCCCTCCGCCCGTGGCCATGGCCGCTGATCAGCTGTTTCAGCCGAACGGAGTGCCTTATCAGATCGAGGACTCTTGCGAGGTTTCCAACACGGCGCGCCGTCCGTCGTGTTGGTTTTGTTCGAAGATTCATAAAGTGGAGACTCCCCCAACATGCCGCGTGGGCCTACAACCATTCATGCAACAATTGGTGCTCACACATGTAAGATACATTCTCATCAAATTGTAATCAAGTTATTTAAACATATTTATTGATATTTGTTGTCTCATTTTGCGAATCAAAATCAAGCAACCTTCAAAGGGAGAAGGTTTCGAAGTAGTTGCAGATCTTTGAAGCAAGCACTCAGGACTTTCCGTTCAAAAGCGCCAACTGGATAGGAAACCATGGATGTTCTTTGAGTTTGTTCTCTGCCAGGAAGGAGAGCGACAGTCTCCGCTGGAGGGTCCTCAACCCTTGAGATGCTTGGGATGTGCTTTGGGACCCTCGGCGACAGACCCGGCGTTTCGGCATCATGCCAGCTCCAACTGTGTGGATCTTCAGCGAGAGCACCTTGGTGAGACAGATGACGCAAGTGTTGGGGCCTGAAACAATCCTTTGTTATTTTGATGTATGTAGCGCAAGGAGGTTTCCTATTGGAGTTTTAAGTGTGAATGCTCTGACAGATGGGACGTCACGAGGATACGGGATGTGAAACAGCTTTACATACACACAATGAAGGGCCATACCTGGAGGTGCCCAAGCTCATCCAAGCTCCCCATCATTTTCCAACCCACAATGCTACCCTCCTACTACAATTTCTGGGCCATACCTTGCATGACAATTTGCTTACAATTTGCCTTGTGAAGCCCACCGATGTAATTATTATAGAATTGAGAAGGCTGGGTTTTGCCTTGGAGTTGCCTTGGACGAAGGGGATCAAGAGACCTCAACTCACGTCATGTCATACCGCAGACCGCAGACATGCCGCGCGGCCCCAAACCGTCCATGCGAGAGGTTCAACGGACCCAGGACCCTCTTAGTCGGTCGGCTTGTTGGGAGGTATGACTACCCGGAGGGCTACCGAGATTGGCTTCCTGGCCTCGCAGTCCTCAGTGTCATGTGCCTGGCTGGATACCTGATCATTACCTACACCAACAGGCAGAGTGGGGCAGAAGCCACATCCCAAACACATGGTGCGAAGGAGAAGGAAAGTATTCATGTGCGCTCCTATGTGGACGTCGACCTTCCGTAGCTAAAAGAACTCCAAAGCAACTTCAACTTTCCAAAATAAAACAAGGGCATCGCTACTAGTATCAAGGGCATTACTACTAGTAGCTAGAAGCTCTTAGTAACAAGGGCATCGCTATTAGTAAACATGGCAGGTGAAAACACACCAACCCTTCACCTTTGCAGGTCCGTCAGTTCCCTTTCCGACCTAGCTTGGGGGTTGCGCATGTTGGGCGTTGGACGCTCGGCTCAGAAAGTGATTGGTTCGGTCGGGAGCGTCGTGTCCAACCGTGCGAGCTGGCGCGTGGAAAACCATTGGAACTGCAGCCGTTTGCCCCCAGTGCTGGGGGCAATTGTTCGTCTTGGAGACCCAGGCTGCCATCATCAATGCCACTTAGAAGTGGACAGGTGAGCCGCGCTAAGAACCTGCCTGTTCATGTTTAGTAGTGGGCTTGTCATATGAATCCTTCGCGCAAGCAAAACTCTGATGTGCGTAAGGTAGCGTAAGCGTTTTTTGTGAGATGAAACTTGCGTAAGCCGCGTAAGCAAGTCGAAATTTAACATACATGTCACATGAATTCTTGAAATGTTTGGATATTATAGGAGACCTTTGTTGATGAAGCCTTGCATTGGATCTTTTTCTTGGCAATTGGTATGGTCGAAGGTGATTGGCTCCACAGAAAGAAGGGTTCTTGGGGTTCCTGTAGTCATTTATATATACAGGACATAGGCATCAGGACAGAGATTTTATTGGTCGACACATGCAAACATTACTCCTATAGCCATACAAACAACTCCCGTAGCCATAAAGTCTACCAGCAGTCATCAGACACACTATGTCACCATGCAGTTATCGGTTTTGGTGTCGGTAATACGCGTAAGGCGCGCGTAAGCTTCGCGTAAGCTGCGCGTAAGCCCCCCTCTCTTTTGTAGACGGTGGCCCACGATGCCTCCTAAAAAGCAGGCTTTTTCTGACTCGCAATGGCGCCAAAGGCAACGCATTGTCCAGACCATCTACGAAATCCTGGCTTCTCACTGCCCTACACCCGCGGACGTAACAAACCTGTTGTGTGCTGTGCTTTGCTTGGAAAACAGATGGCGCGTAAGCTGGCGCTGTGGCCGGGTGCAAGATTGTGTTCGCGTAAGTGTTGCGTAAGCCCCTTTGTGTGCAAAGTGTGCGCGTAAGCTGCCATTGTGGTGGCGTAAGCCAGGCGTAAGCTGCTGCGTAAGGAAAGTCTTACGACATAGGCAGATGCCACACGTTTTGAGCACAGCTCAGGTGTCCCCCACACTTACTGTAATTCATTCTAGCCGGTTTGGGGATCCCGACCAAAACAATCGACCTCCGTGCTATGCATACAGCCGGCCTGGTCCAAGAGGTGTCTACGTGGGAAACCCTGTTTCATTTTCGAGGTGTTCTTGGTTCGTTTGAAGGTTCGTTTGACCTCTTCGTTTGCCAAAAGACTTGCTGAGGATTCGGTATCATCTTCGGCTTGGTCCATCTACTTCACTGTTGCTTCCACTCACCCAGCGCCCCTGCACCACTCTCCCGGACAGAGCTCTACCACTTGGCACCTCGGGCAGACATCCGGCTGGTCCGCATGTATGTTCTGAGCGGATTCGTTCTGAGCGGTTGTTTGAGAAGGAACGGTCCTGAAAAGCGTGCGGATTTGAGGACATACATGGACAAACATCATCAAACATCCTATTCTGATGTTTGTACCATTTTGTATCCTCATTTTTGGCATAGCCAAATCGCCGCAAAATGCTTGCAACAGGAAGAAAAGCAAGAAATGGTTATCACCCCTCCGATTTGGTACAGAGGTGATCCAGAATTTTGGAATCCATTCGGAGTGAATCGGTGTGGATCACCTCCATTTGGCACAGAACAGATCCACTTAGGAATCCACTGTGATCTAACATTAGGACCGGGCCAATAACAGGCTCAACCAGGTATTCGGGGTCTACGGTCTACCCATCTTGACATCCTTTGACCATTGAGTCTTGAGCGATGTGAAGGCTTACCCCAAACGCTTCAAGCCTGCGACAAAGGGGGGTTTGCTCACACGCCACACAGGATTCAGCATGATCTTACGCAGGTGCGAGCCGCTGAAGGCCATTGAGGGCCCCTGGTCAATGGGTTTTGGTATGTTTTTGGTGTTTGTAGTCGCATTCTACAGGTGGGCCGGACCACGTGCACCTTTTGGTCAGTCGTGCTGCTCCTGGCAACTCGTCATTAAAAGCGTGTTATTTTTTTTCCGAAGGTATGAGTGTTGAAACTTGATCTCCATGGCATCATCACCGTGTTCATTCTAATCTCCATCAGCGTTTGCGGCAACATATGCAGGCTTTAAGGGTATATATCAGAATCATATCAGAATCACCAGTGTCGCTTTCATCCCCAGCGACCCTGAACGTATTCCTTGCTCAGCGTTTTGGACGCCTACGGCTCGGCAAACGACTCACTTCCTTCCGCGCACCTAGGGCTTTCTGTGCCTTGACATGGCCAGAGCGCCTGAGGGCTTGGCTTTGATCCACGGAGCTTTGTACCTCTTTCAGTCCTTGGCATCCATCCTAGTGCTGACGCCATCTTGGCTTCTGGGGAATTGCTTGACCAAGGATGAACGGCAGAACGGATGGTTTTGGTCGGCTGTTTGTCGTGACGGCTGTTGGTTTGGCTTGAAGACGGTATCCTTATTCCCAAAGAAGGATGACTGTGGCCATGACTCAGCCATCCAATATCGTCTAATTGTTGCCATGTATTGTTGCCATGTGTCATCATTCCATTCATCATTCCATATAGTTGCATTTACTTTAGCCAGCTGTTGGGTTGTGAGGAGCCCATCAAAGCTGGACTGCTGGTGAGCATGTTTTGGTGTGGCGCCTTGTTTTCTGCGGGCACCTCTGGTGAGTTCAACACCCGACTGCGTCTTGGCATTGGGCACATCTGTGCATCAAAAAGAATTCAGCAGGGGGTCTTGAACGCTTTCCCTTGCCGAACCCTTCTCCCGCTAGAAAGACAGATTGACCTATTTGGATGATAGATTTGACGTGACCTGCAACCCTCTATATATAGCACACCTTGCCATATCATATACCGCTTGAACCCACTTGATATATAGCTTATAGCTTATCAAACTTTTGACGACTACGCGGGCAGGCTTTATTCAGGGAGGGAACGGGGAACGACGATGACGACCAACGATTCAATTTCCACAAGCTGGTTGAACGAATGGCACTTGTGCTTGGCCCACCCGAAACCCGGGAAACCACTTTATTTTAGGGCAACCCATGGTGCTGGTCACTCCAACCATGAAGGCATGTTGAGAATCGCCTCAATTTTCTGACTACATCAGCACCAAGGCTCTACTTCTGGCGTGATTGGGACCCTGCCTGCCATGCGAAGTCGCCTCTGGGTCCCACCTGGCCATATGACGATCCCTCCACCTCCTGCGTGGCAAAGGCGTGCCTCAGCGGAACAATGCCTGCCGGGCGGCCAGCCAAGAAAAATCATCCGGTCCAAATCCTACTTGTCATGTCATTTCATGAGATTTCTTTTCATGCTGTTTTGTTTAATTATATTTCTATCATCTTAGCATTTCATGATGTGTCATTCTTTGCAGGTCTTTTTTGGGAGCAACATGTAGTTAGTTCCAGTCTTGGGGGTTGGCTCCAAGGCTGGTGGAATGGATACTCACGCCTGGAATCTTGGTGGCATCGAACTTGGTCTGAGAATGCCTGAGATGTGGATGATCCAGCAATTTCTGGATTGGTGGAAGCTACTAGTAGAAAGGACGCTACTAGGTGGAGGCCATGGCTATTAGGTTGGAGGCCATCGCTACTAGGAACAAGAAGCTGCTAGTAGCATGGACGCTATTAGGTGAGGCCATCGCAAGTAGGTTGGATGCCATCGCTATTAGGAGCAAGAAGCTACTAGTAGCGTGGGTTTGTACAAGATGCCAGATCAGGGGATGAGAGTGCTGAGGGTCCTCAAATGTCCTCAACGCGGGCTGAGGTATCGTGGAAGAATCCATGAAGCTGCTTGGGTGTTCAGAACTTTTCGACTCAAACCTTGTCGAAGTTCTTTTGCTGTATGGTGAGTATGATGCTTGTTGTGCTGAGCCTTGACTCAAGCATGATTTCAACTTTCAACAGTCAAGTCCTTTTCAGCACAAACCCTATCTTTGTGATCGTTTGTGGCGGCGCATCGCCTGATCCCCTCAAAAACTAATGAGTTTGACCAAAACAGGCTGCTGGTGCTTTTGCGCTTGGTTCCCTCGTTGGAAGATGCGATGCGCTCCCTTTGGCTGACGCGATGCCCCCGCATGTCGACGTTTCAATGCTTGCCCTGCTGCGGGTGGTTTCTGATCCCCTGGCCAAATTAGATCAGCCGGAAAAGTGTGGCTCAAAAATTCTCACTCCAAGGAACCCCTTTTTGGTCCATTATGCATGTGAGCTTGGGTGTGTTCAGGACTCATTGCAGGACTAATTTAATTAAGCACTTTTGAGCCCTTCCTGGCTGTACTCACTAATTTTATATATGGCAGTTGTTGTATCCCTACTACCCGGTTTGGAGGGTTACTGTGAGTGTTACGGCTTAGGAGGGTTGAAAATTGACACGCGCACTGTAAACATTGCCGCCTTTTTCTGGCTGTTCAAGAAGGACCACCACTTCGACGACAAGCATGAGATATTTATATTTGTCTTCCCAAGTATCCGCTAGGAAAAGAAGTGTAGTGTGATCAGTTGCTGTGATTCAAGTTTCTACACCATTTGTCCTTTCCTGTTTCCTTCACCAAGCCAAGGCTCCATAATGCCATGGTAGTTGAAACGAACATTCTTGATCCCATGGTTGCATAGATCAGACTTTCTTTGTTTTCTGTCTTTGTCGCACTATGTCGCACTCCTTTCAAAGGAAGCTGGCAGCTTCTCCAGTCGTGGTGGTCCTTTGTGGTATGTCAGTGGGGGCTGGCTTTTCGACCCGGGAAAACGTCTCCTACATCGGCCGAATCAAAGGGCAAGTGGAATCAACACGCAACCTCCTGCCTGCTGTTGGCCGATTGATCGCCGCGGTGCTTCATATCTCCCTGACTGGCACCTGTGCGTTTTTCTTGGCGGTGTCCCTCTTCAAAGGCAAGGCATATCGATGGGCGAAGTACTTGGGCTGGGCGCTGATGGTTGTGGCTCATGGAAGCTTTGATGCATTCCTGACCTTCAACCAAGCCGTGCCCTTGCATGAGTGTTACTTTCGCGCCACGTGTGATCAGACAACGCGAAAATGCACCATCGACAAGAAAGGGATGTTGCGTCTCAGTTGCATCATGAGTCCGGATGTTCCAAACTCACCCCTCCATGAGCCAATCTCGGAATCTGTTGATACCTGTAGGATACTGCAGGAGTGATTCTGAGATAGATTTGGCTTCTTGGCATGCTCAAGGCACCTTCAAACGTCCCTTCTCCAAAAATAGGGGCCCCACTCCCCCAGCAACTGATGTGAAGGACCGTTTGCACTTACAGTAAGGCAGTAAGGTAGATAGATGTATGGATGGATAGATAGATAGACACGTTAAGATACATGCATTACATATGAGAATATATATATATAGACATAGATACATTGATACAAGTATATATTATTGCATATATATATACACATTCATTAAAACAAAAAAAATCTTTTAAAATAATCATATGCACAAAAAATACATCACTAAACTATACATGTCAAAAAACAACTACCATCACACCACTCCACTTCTCAGCTGGCCCAACCATTGTCACTTCCATCACCAGGGCTGGCTGCCGCTGTAGCAGTGGGGTCGATCCTGAGACCAGACGCTGCAAGGGTCGCAAGGCCAACGGGAACACGTCGGAGCTGACGCTGAGCACGGACTTCACGGACTTGGCTAAGGCTGAGGCCGACGCTGTGCACGTCATGCCGCATCCTGTTGAAGGATGTTGCGTCAATAAACAGAAAACGAGCACCGCCTCACGTTGCATGGTGGCCGCAACAGGACTTTTGGGAGCTGGCGGCGGACCGACGGTGGGGCGCAGACTGTAATCAGCTGTGACTTGGGTGTGCAAGTCGGCGGGTGTTCCGTGGTGATGAAACACTTAAACCACTCGAATCGGTCCAATTATATACACCCGACATCCCAACCACTTCCATTCAAGGTGATCCCAAATGATCCCAAAACGTTCCCTGAAAAGCCATTCAGTTGACCAGCAGTATATTGCACCTATTGGATGGTATATTTTCTAGAGGTTTGTTTGCGAGATATGCCTGCAAGGCTGTAAGTTCGGAAGCTACATGAGCAGAGAGGGATCTCATTCTTGTTGGTGGACTCGGCACTGTCCAGAGAACGACTAAAAAAGCGGTCTCGTTCAGCATGCAGCGAGACCGGCTACTGTAGTAGATAGATGATTATATATACACATACTATTGGGATCTATTTGGACCAGCTTCTTCAAGAAGACCTAAGAGAGTTCGCAGATTTTGGTCGGATAAAGTTCCGGCGAAAAGCCCAGCTTGTCCCTCAGAGTCTTTACCCTGCTCACTGGTACAGAGGAGGCGTGCTCAATCGATCAAAATTGGTGCCTCATGCACGCTTTAAGGCCCGAGAACTCCTATATTTGTGGTGCTGTCTATGTGTCCTGGTTTCCCATTTGGCCGGCTCCTATTTTAGGCAGGGCTTGGCAGAGGTGCACGAGGGTGAATGTAGATGGGTATCACTCGAAAGACGAGATTTGCGTGTTGCGAGGACTCCCAAACCATGATGTTCAGTCAATGTGCCTCAGTTCAACAAAGCAACACCGGTTGAGCATATATATATATATATAGATTCAAGCAACCAATATTCAATACGGCACAGGAAGCTGCCTTTGATGGTTGTGGCCGGGAGAAGGTGCCCTTAACCTCAGTTTTGGCAGAGCTCAACTTTTCATAGGGCAACTCCTGCAGATGTTTGGTGTGGGCGTGTGGTACATTTTTCCAGTTTGGGGGATGCATGGTCCAGTTTGCACAAGGAAAACAAAAAAACAGCAACAAGCTGTTTGATGGAGTGCTGTTGCAATAGTCTACACCTTAAGCCTTATGCCGCCTTACGTCTTATCTTGCTCGTGACTAGTTGACCAAGATTCGAACCATCCTCGCAGGTCTTCTCATCATTATCACTTTCACGCTCTTGGGTTGCTGCTGAGTTTGCGCTTGGGCCGGGAAGGGGGGGTAGAAGCGAAGAAATCCTGCCGCATGTGAACCCAGAGTGCGCCATGATATCCCTGGAAGAAACTGGGACCGGTGAGTGTGGGAGACTACCTTAGGTGCGGGTGGACTACCTTAGGTTTCAAGCATATCAATCATGGGACCTGCTTTCTCCATCAAAATGCCAGACTTGAAGGCAGGACCTCGATGCGTAGTCGTAGGTGTTTGCAGCCGTTGCTGCAGTTTGAACATGCTCAGGGTCCGTTTGTCATAGTGTGTCCTATTCGTCACCCTAGATTGCAATTGTTAACTGTGGGAAGGATTGTACTGATTCAATCCTTGCCCACTCTGGGTGCATGATTCGACATTTTCCACTGACCGAAAACGCCATGCCCAGGTTGCGCGACTCCACGCTTGGAGCGTTCTTTCCAATCCTCTGCTGGCAGCGAGGTGATGGAAACAGAATTGCCTGCCCGACCAATTCAATCCATTCCAGCAGTGAATGGCCATGACGGCTGAATCAATCACTGGCCATAGCCAAAGCTGCTAGAGCCGAATCCCATTCTACATCCATTTACCATCTCCGGCCGCGAAAGCAGATGCCGCCGCATAAAGGCATGGGTTTTGGGCGGTCGAGTTTGGGGCGTTCATGAGCAGCAGATCAGAAGTTTGGAGTTCGGTCCTTGCACAAATTCTGAAAACAATCCTTTACTGTCACACTGCTTTGTCTTGCTTGACCAAGGCTTGTTTGTGGCGTGATGCGGCACTGTTCTGTTGAGGAGCAGTCAGACAGTTCAACAGTGGCACAAAAAGATCGCAGCAACCCGGAAGCCCTTGCCGGAATTCCAAAAGGCATCATCACACCTCAAGATCGATTCAGTGGTCAGCTTCATGCGCAAATGGATGATCACTGCTTTCGTGTTTGAGTCCCTTATAGGCCCTTATAATCCCTTATATACTTCTCCCTTACGACCCGACCCACCCATCCATGTATTCGTTACTCTGACACCGACTTGGACCCTGACACCAACCGCGTCGTGGGTCAGGAGCTGTGCCATGTGATTTCACCCAAGCTGCATGCCAACATCTCCGAGCGCTCGGTGGCGGAAGTCGTCGGCTTCGCGCCTCGGACGTCGTTGGAGGAGTCCTAACCGACCCCGGTGGACCCCCAGGTCCGGGCCCCCGCAGGATGGCCGGTGAGAATGCGGAGAAGAGAAGCACGGTACTCCATGGTACTCCTGATGATATCTTATGATATCTTAGTCACAGATGCCTCCCCAGAGCTTCGGATTGGCATTCTGACTGGGGCAGGTTGCAACATACACCTTACCGCCCTTATGCCAAACTGTACCTGACATTACCTGACAAATGGATTTTCAATGATTTTCACCACATGTCATGTCACCACATGATTTGGTTGCCAAGATCGGCCTCATCATGAAAGAGCGGGGCGACCTCCTTGAGGCATTGGCAGGGGCATGAGGTGTTCCGCATCATGTTTTTCTTCCTGTGGTCATTTGTCGGTCGATAGCTTGTTTTTTATTGTCCAGAATCACACTGATTATATAACTGATTCTGATCTGAAGATTCCTGTATCTTCCTGTTTTCTGCAACGCCCTGCGTGTCAGGCCTGCCGTTTGTACCAAAAGTCTGTGCTCATGGCTTCAGACCATGGCTCGTTGTGCCTGAACCTCATGCAACTTGGATGCTCCCATGATGTTCGATCGAGCGACAGGGCGACGGGTTTACTCTGTGAACTTCCCTCTCATCATGGGCATGGGCATTGCGGGGTCAACCGCGGGGACCTGCGGTTGTTCATGGTTTGCTGCCCCTAACTTTCACCACATGCCCAATGCCAATTAATTTAGACTGTTGATAAGTAGGTCTCCCATATGGAGAGGTTTTACAGAATCCAAATCGGATGGTTTTATTAACCAACAAATCTACATAATTTGTCTCAATTCTTCAAGCACCCGATGGTTGCTTCATGCCAGTGATGGTGGAGTCTTGGCTACGGTCATTCCGAGACACCCGTTTGGTTTCATTTCCGCCTCACATATCAGAGGCAAACGGAAGGGTAGTTTTGCAAAAACCTATCCTACTAACATCGCGGAAGGCGCGGGACATTCGTAGAACCCAAGGCTGTTCGTGGACAGTTTGTGGAATGGTGGGCCAGTAGGAGAACTGACTGCAACGAAATCCCAGAAACCTTCGCAGAGCTTCGTGGAAGGTATTTTTGATCCACTAACTTCGTACAAGCGATTTTTGCTGACCCCCTTTCTCCACACACCCTCCATTTAGCCTTCAACATAACTTCAGGTTTCTTGGCAGTATATGAGTGGTGCGATATGGGTGATAATTAATAGTAATAGATGCCCGGAGAAGATGCAGATGGATGAAGAACCCCCACAAAATGTCCGGAAGGGTCTTTGCGGGGCCTGCCCGTAATTTCAAGACACATCCGGGGAGAAATGTGTTTTTGGGGGCAATGAGGCTTGCATGAATCACAGGGATGCAAGTGAAAGGAAGGAAGGCAACAAAGCAGTGTGGCAAGAAAATGCAGGCATAACAACATGAGGACGCCAGCTTTGGAAAGGCGCAAATGTATGAAACAAAATGACAGGAAAGGAAGCAAGAGAGGACAGGGACCAAAAGAGAAACAAACCATGGAAGGCCCGGTCTAATCGGGGCGACTCTGGAGTAAGCATTGCTTGTGTGTCGGGGAAGCTAAGGTGGTTTTTATCAATCCTGTTTTGACACTGAGTGTTTTTTATTCCTGCGTCCATTCAAACATTCATCATCAGTTTGCCTCCTGAGTCCAGCGTTCCACTCCTCTCATCATCTCACTCGTAGTATCTCACTAGTACGGGCAAAGATCCATAGGAAGCCCGTCAAGAAATGTGAATGTTTGCAGAGGGTGCCGACGGGACAAGGAATTGGGGATGAGAGATCTCCTGCATCCCAGGCACACCTACTCCTTGCGGCGCGACGACTTGCGAGCAGTTGCCTGGGGGAAGCGGTTCATGCAGAAGCAGCAGCTATTTGCTCCAGTGCTTTGCAGTGATTTGGGTGTTCATTTCCATGTACTTTACTGATTTGCACCTTTGAAGGAGTGAGTATTTATTGAAACTTTTGGTCTTCAGCAGCAGTTCCGGTTTCTTTATGGGCAGAAGCATTTCACTGAAGAGTGTTTCGTGTTCGTGTGACAATACCAGACATCTTGAGCAAAACTCACAACGAATTGGTACATTGTTGGATTACCCAAGGTTGCCCAGCGAAAGTTATACTTGACTTTGCGTAGAAAACCTCATCGAAAGTTACCCAAGCAAGATCTCAGCACCAAAGCAATTCACCCAAGCAAGATCCCAGCACCAAAGCACTTCGCCCACGCGAGATCCCAGTACCACAACAATGCCAGCAGCTCTACACAACCACACCTGCAAGCTGCAGATGTACTTGTAGCAGACCGATTGGAACATACCTATATACAAGATTACCACCTCCGTAGCAGCCGCAACCTGCAGATGCACTTCTGGCATACATACAAATGCCAAATGTATTGGTGCACATGTGTTACGCAAAAGATTGCTACAGAAGAATGTATATATTTATAGATATATTCTATATTCTAGATAGCTATATATGTTCATTCTTAGGTTGCCCGGGTGGTCCATGTTTCTTGGGTTTTTGCGACGGAAAGTCGCGACCACGTCCCCCAGGTGCTGGCAGCTTTGGATGGAAAGTCGCCCCTTGGACCGAGGGCGACAGAAAGCGACCGGGAAAGATCACAGTGGACTTCAGACAGTTGAGATGGCACTTGCACAGGGCGACCACGGAGATTACCACGGATGTAGTCAAAGTAGGAACATGATCTTACGATCTTAGACTTGGATGTATTCAAAGCCACCTTTGGGGATGGGGACTTGTGCCATGTTCTGGTGAAAAGTCTGAGCGGATATTTTAGTGCTGAGTTGCTCAGTTGCTGTAGATTATCTAGAGGATGATGGATGGCCTGTTTGCCTGGTGTAATCCTATGTGTATATATATATACGTATCTATATACATCATAGGGCCAAAAGAGGTCGGGAGTTTTGGATAGGGTGTGCCTATAATTAATTTTGCAAACGGATGCATGCACATTGTGTGGTTGCTTGGTTATTACAAGTCAGTCTAGACTGACAGTGGTTCTGGGGCAATATGTTGACTGCCACCCAGGTCAAGTCAACATCGAAGCTGCGGACAGAACAGGTATTGCTTAGAGCACTTCCATGGAACCTTGACTAGGCGAAGTGCTATTGTGTTAAGCCATTCGAAACCAAGCCTTGCCTGGATTTGTGATACCCTCCATCAGATTAACATGGACCCCCCAAACCACTGGGTTCTACCGGAAAATGGTTTTCCATGGGTGAATTCTCAGGGCCAGTCTGGGGTGTATCACTCTTTCGGCTCAGGGTCAGCGACGACGCCAAGATCTTTGGGGTCAAAGACTTCGCCGCCGAGAACGAGTTCCATGCTGCTTGGGCCGGCGAGGTTGAAGAATTGATGGCGGAGAGCTGGGGCAGAGCCCGGTCATTGTAGTTGTAGTGCGTAATGTAGGCTCTTGATTATTAACTCCCCATGTAAAGAGGCTTTTCAATTCAAATGCGCGGGTTTATTTATCAAGAGTCTATACATTAGGGGCCAAAACATTGCCAATCTTGACGCCCCCTGTGTTTCGACTGCAGGTTTGTTCATGCGCCTTATGGCCAAGAGAAAATGGACACCAACAGGAAAAAGGCACACACTCGTGCAGATCAATATGGGCCCCAAACTCAGTGTGTTTGTTCAAGCAGGTCTTATGAAGGGTCTTGAGCCACGTTGTGCGTGTGTGAGTGATCCTGTGGTGTAATTCATGATTGGTGTCCTGCAGTAGTTCCTGCAGTCTCCCTGATTAAACATTGACCCAACTTGTTCTTTGCAACTCTACCCCGCTGGTGAGGATGCCTTAGCCATCGGCCTGGTGACTTTCAAGCTGCTCTTCCTGGCGCAGCCCAGAGGCTTTGAGAGCAAGGGAGAGCCCAGCTGGTTGAAGTGCCCTGCTTGAATCAGCTGCACCGGTGAGCTGAGGTGGTTCGGGGCCTCCACCCTATCTGCGATGGCCTCCAACCTACATAAAGGAGATGAATGCAGTTTCGTTGGCGTTTCAGAAGGCTTTGACAATTCCCTTGCCATACAACTTGAGTTTGCAACATGTGCAACGAGTATTCAATTCAGTCCATGCACGGCCCAGAAAACGGCCGTTGCACAAGCTAAACCTCCAGGAGCCAACCTGGACACCTGACCCATTGGTTCCAGAGCACTATCCACCTCACCCAAGGGGACCGAAGAAACGCCCAGGCGGCTGAAAACCATGGAGATTGAGTCACACATCGTCGGCCCTGGCGTGCTCTCGCTGATGGAGGACATGTGTGAAGCCCAAGTGGCCCAACTGGTCCATGCAGATGGTTCGTTCGACTTGTAACGGTGAGTCGGTGAGTCACCCTGTCCATCCGACTGAACATCCGACACCACGTGCCCTTTGTCCGTGTTGCGGTGGCACGGGTCTTGGTGCCAGGATACCTGGCGGCGGCGTAGCGAGATGGATGCAAGCATGTTGGTTGGCGCACAGAAGCACAATCAAGTGCTCAAGCGCCTTTGCGGGGTGTGCCCTGGCCCGAGAAGATGGCGTGAGAGGGTCAAGAAGCGATCGGTGAGTCACGTGCAC